AACAGCATTCTGGCACTAGGAGCTTGGAAAGGAGAACTCCAGTCCCCACACTAATTGCAGCCCATCTGTTGCACCCGCCTAAAATAATTAAGCAGTGCAATTTCAGGCACAGCATCTTATTTTGAGATCAGAAATGACTGGGAAAGAGTGGAAAAATGAAGAGGTTGACTCTGGAAAGGGCACTCAAAGGTTGCTTCCCAGAGAGCTGTGTTATCTGCCTCAGGTTCGCAGGCCATTTCACTTCAAATAAAAATGCTTAGGCTGAAAGGAGGTTCCTTTGTGTAACACAATATAATCCTGCTGCCAAATTTAGATGCACAAACATGGAGCTTGGCCAACTTGTAAGGGTAATCTATGCAAACTGTGCATTTACTCTAGATCAATCCAAGTGCCCAGAACTTTAACTAAACAAAACAGGGTGCTGCTTTAGAAACTAGCTGTCCTGAGAATGTTCCTGCATACAAACCTACCTGACTGAACCAGCACTGCTGCTTCTATCCAGACACCTGAGTCGTGTACTGCAGCACCCATTTCAGAGCTCCCCTCAACATAAGCACAAGGTAGAAATAGGTGTTCCAGTTACTTAAAACTTGCAGCTCTACTCCAGAAGCAGCTGTCCCTACTCTGAAAACTAGAAACACGTTTTTATTTGCTCTCCTTTCTACTCCCCAGCCTCACTCTGTAATCAGAAATCACAGAGATAGTACTGCACCCAAGGCAGAAATAATGATATGGGGCTTTTCTGCTTGCTTCCTTTTCACAGTCCCAGGTTTTTGCATAAAGTACTTGTGAGAGAAAGGTTTTCCTGCCTTCCCGAGGGCAACAGCACTCTTCCTTTCCCCAAGGAACATGTGATGTTATCAGAAGTAGGACACGTTTCTCTCTGCCCTACCTTCTGATGGGCCTACAGCACAATTTCTTACAGATGGCAGGATGCTGTTAGTGCACATCATTCTTCCACATCATAAGCCAGTAAAATTAAGCATGACAGTTCTCTGGAGGATGCTCATCCAGACCTAAGAAAAAACAACAGAAAAGACAGTACAGTGACTGAAACAATAAGAATGGTGAGGGAAGCCAAGCCAAGGCCTACCAGGTCCAGGTGACCAGTCATAGATTTTGACTTCAGGCCATGCTTGGTGATTCTGCTGCTGGGCAGCCTCCAGCAGGCTTTTCCATGAAGAGAAGCCAGCTGCCTCAGAGCTGAGGGCAGCAAACCCTTTGGTCACAAGAGGAAACAGCTCTGACTCAAAAGCACCCAGGGGAAAGTGCTGGTGAGTAACACAGTGCCATTCACACGTGGTTACACTGCTGACTTTAACTGTTCTAACCACTTTTACTACCTTTTAGTTTGGCCCGTTCCTCCATCATGGCTTATCTTCGTATTTGACCATTTCCTGCTATGAATTGTCAGTTCTTTTCAAAGAAACCTGACAATTTCCAAGCTATCAGTTGTTTTAGCTGATATGCCAACTCCTTATGTGGCACCCAACATCCTTGCCTGAACCAATCACTTGCAGCAGCTGTGGCACAGTGCTGGCAGCTGCCAGGAGGCTCCCAAAGCATCCAGTCTTCTCCAGACCTAAACACACCAAAGGCAATGAAACTCCTTCAGCACAGCACCTCCCTGACCTGCACCAAGTCCTGCCTATTGGACAAGTGTAAAAACAAATACTAGTCAGAAATAACTGATTGTTAATGCTATGCTTTTACTGTAAACAAGATTTTAACACATTTCCTAAGAAAACAAGGCACATATGGATACACGATCCCAACTGTCCATTCAACCTCCTCCCTGTTACTTTGTACCCCCTGTTCTGGCTATATTTCAGAGCAGTCAAGAAGTCTTACAGTTTTATAGCTCTTACCAGTTTTGTGGGATTTAGAAACACATCACAATGAAGATGTCCAAGGAAGTGATGGAGTCCCAGACCCTGGAGGGGTTCAAGAAAGGGCAGCTTTGGCAGTGAGGGGCATGGTGGGGATGGATTTACATTTGGACTTCATTATGATAGAGTTCTTTTCCAACCTTCTATGACTCTATGCATTGGTGACCATGCAGTGATCACAACTACAGAACTCAATCTTATTTCAGGGAATTGAAAGAAGTGGAATATCAGATGTTCTTAAGTTCTATGACTCACAGAACTCCTTGTTTCAGTTCTGTTCCCCCGTCTTACAGGGAAAGGCAAGCAAGAATAGATGCCTCCACAGTTAAGCCAGCACACTGCTTAAAGCTAGCTCAGATGTCTGCAAGAGCTACAGTTATTGAATTCTTTTTTTCCTACACCAGCAGAGACAGCAAAACCTACTCTTCAGAATCATTTGAGCTCTGCAAAGTGAAAGGCTCCAGGTAAAGCACAGAATGCTGTTATTTTTGGAGAGTAACTGGCCAGACAGCCCCAGCAAACCCAAACCAGGATGTTTTCACAGTCTGAACAGAAATGCCAGCAGCAGAACAGCATGAATGATGTAAAGATGTGATTTCAGTTATCCACAGGTGCTGTCTGCAAGATCAGTAAGATCACTTCAGCCAGATTCTGAGAGACTGTAGACAAGGGTAATAAATTACCTTTGGAAGACAGGGACTGGGGTTCACATCCACCAGAGCAGAGCTGGCTTTGTACTTTGAAAAGAACAGGGTCAGTTAAAGAGGCCAAAATACATACATCAATTCACGCTGGGTAACGTTGTAACAGTGCCCCTTTAATGCTTTAGCTCACCAGAGCAAAGGTTCCTTGTTTCTGCTCAGGAATTCCCAAGCCATCTCAGTCGATTAGGTAACAGCAGGAGCAAAGTCCAATCGCTCTCTGAAAGGTGTTTTGTACCCCACGTACCCAGAAACATTGGGCTAGCAGCTCCTCCTGCTCATAGGCCACTCCTGAGACTACAAACGGAAGAAAGAAAAACAACACCTGCAATACAGATACAAAAAGAACCTGAGCTTCCCAGAGTCGTGGCATATTCAAAAATCCTTCTACGTCCAGAAACAACTAAAAAACTTCAGGAATTCATACAGATACAACTGAGCAATGCACTTTTTTCCAGAGCATACGCCTCAAAATGCATCTAATTCCTACCCTAGTGAGAATCATCACTACTGAGGTCATGGAGACGACTAAAATCTCAAGTTTGCCAGCAGTCACTATTTTCTTGTACTACAAGGAGATGGTATTTCTGTCACACGTTCATTGGAAGCCTGCAATCATCATGTTACTGGGTCCTGACCTTTCCAAAAGGGAAAACATCACTGCTTCCATCTTCAATGTGATGCTTTGGTTTGGAGAAACCAGTTTCAGAACTTTCAGCCCATCTGAAATCAGTTGCTTTGGAGCCAGCTCATGTCAGCACAAACTGATTGCTGTGACAAAACTACCAAACTGGGTTTTCTCCTCTGCTGAGTTTGCTGTCTGTACTCAAGTCTACACAATCCAAGATTTAGGGGGTGTGAGCATAATTGGTTTCATATTCCAATTTTGAAGGATCTTTCCAGCCAAAGAGCTGTCATGCAGTCTCAAATATGAAATCTCCATCCCCACTGGATATCTCCAATCTCTACAACACACAGCAGCAATTCCCTGAGCAATCACCTGCTTACTTTCAACCACTTCCTCTCAGAGCAGCAGAATAACGAGGAGATGGAGGAGCCTTAAAGCCAAACCTTTCTATTTCAGCCTTTTTTCTACTGCAGCCACACACACACACGTATGCACACACTTGGTAACTGTGCAGGTACACTGGCACACACAAATTTTGGGGCAGAACAGCAACTCACAACAAAACTGTGAGTAGTATAGTATGCACTAGTGCTCCCCCTACAGCAACATGGTTCAGCTTCCTTCCATCTGAAGTGAGCTGAGAATTGCATCCTGTGGTCAAAAGAGTTCAAGCAACCTGATATACTCTTGGTGCACGTCACCTGACTCATGCCATGAAGATGGAGCCTTTGCAGCATCTGCCACATAAAGAAAGCACAAATCCTAAGACGTGCTTTGATGCACTGCAGCAAAAAGGAACGCGGGTAGAAGTCACCATTTTGTAAATCACACAGTAGTCCCATCAACACCTGGTTGCTTAATTATGTCTAATAGATGTAGAAGTAATGACTGCATGTCACAGACTGTCATTAGGAGGATGGGACGACTACTCACACAGCACAGCATTTAATAAGCTGCTTTGCTTAGTGGAGACTTGCAATTTACCACAGGAGTCCCCTAACATAATCACTGTCATAGCACAAAAGTTGACTTGCAATTATTACTATTTCAGTAATTTTCTAATTACTATCCTAGTGTTAAAATAAATAAGAGAAGGTAGCAGCAGTGAATGAGGAAGGCCATCTTACTCCAGCTGTGCTCATCCAGTCCCACTGCTCTCGATAAAAAGCATCTGCAGCATATTTAAAGCACAAAGAAATACCTTTTGAGTCAACTGATAAAAACTGCCTACTGTTAACATATGGCTTGGATCTATTAAACCTGCTAGCCACCTGTTTCCACAGGACTCCAATGTAGTTCTCAGCAAGTCGGTAGTTCTCCACCAAGAATAATCCATTTTTAACCACGTGTGACACCAGTGCCCCCCTTTCCTTACAATACCGACATGCAGATCCAGCCACCTGCCAACTTCTGCATTCGCTGCCATGTTTCAGAAGCTTTGAGTTGACTGCCATCTAGCGACACCAGCAGGCAGCCTCAGAAAGCCTTCCTACACGATGCCTGGAGTCACCTGTCCTTCCAGCACTGAAATTCAACTATCTTGTACCTTCAGTTCACACAACATTTGTTCTTCTGTTTCGATTTAGTCAAGCTTCCTGCAGCCAGTCAGTAAAAGCAAACGCATTTTCAGGTTAGCTTTTCTGTACACTGCAGGATCAAGAGGCCATGAGAGCTCACTTTCCCCTTCCTCAGAAACCAGTCCACCCCACCAGAGCTCACAGAGACTGGAAAGCGACTTCCAAATCTTATCACACACAGAAAAAAGGTTAAGAGAAGCCTGCATACTTAAATATTTCTTTTAATTACAATTACATGTGAAAACTCGTTACAAGTATTTCTAATGCTTGGAACTTTTCAGAAATATCTTGGGTGTTTGCCATCCTGCAGGAGGATTTTTCAAACCAGCTCTTTTCCAGATGCGCTCCAAATCTTTCTCAAATTTTACCTAAAACAGAGGAAAAAGAAAGAGAGAGAAATGGCAACACCTGAGAAGCAACGCTCAAGCATTCAGACACTGCCCAAGTGCCCCAAGAGGATCTGCATACATGCTGTGATAGCAAAACTGAGAGGATAGGGAGCGAAACTGTAAGAGAATTTCTCATCACAGAGCTTCCCACAGGCGTGCAGAAACTGAACAGTGAATCCCATTTAAAGAGGCATCTAGGCAAGGTGAAAAGTAACCAAGAATTATCTGAACTATATCATAGCAGACTGCCAAAAGGCAGCACTGAATGAGAATAGCCACAACTTGAGTGAAGGCCAACATCTTCATGCATCCTTTCTATTAAAGGAAGAAAAGGGTTCTAAATAAAAACAACAATAAAGTCAATATTGTGGTCTCTTCCTACAGCAGCTCTGTAAAAGCATGTGAGAATACGAGCAAGATGGGTAGGAAATTAAGATTAAACTGATCTTCCTGATGTAACATAGGTATGTGAATTAATCTTCCACACAAACACAAGTTCTTCCCCACTAGTCACACATCTTTATGGAGTTACTCACACCTGGTAACTGTCACACACACCTGGTTACAAGCACAGAAATGTAAGCTTCTGAAGAGGTAAAATACAGATTAAATCAGCCAACACTACTGAGCCAGTAAATCCTGAATTGGCTTAGACTGAATTTCTCCGAGCTGCTGCCATTTTTCCCTACGTTAATCCCACCTAAAATCCAACACCTGAACAAAGGGCAGTTGAAAAAGGGTGTGCACCTACATCAAGATGCTCCCTTTAAGCTGAGCTCACCTGCCGTTTCTTCTTGCGCCCTTCCTTTATCCTCCTTCTCACAAACTTCCTTCTCTTCAGCAGCTTTTTGTATTTGTGTCGATTCATTTTCCGTCTGCGGATCTCCAACACGTTCTTACACTGCAGTGTGTTGGTTGGTGTTCCTTCCCCTTCTTCCACATCAGCTCCTTCATCAGATGGAGGACAGACATACCTCTGGAGAGGCCCAGAGCCCACTTCTTCCTGAGCACTATTGACCTCTGCTTTAGGAAGGGAGTATGTGACTGTCAGCCAGCTTTCTAAGGGGCTGATGGAAAGCTTTCTGGGGACCAACATCTCTTCCAGTTCAGGCTCCAGCACGTGCCACCGCTGAGGCTGGGCTCCATTCTTATTAGGTGGCTGCGTGCAATAGTTCACAGATGTAGAATGACAGCAAAGAAAGGAAGACACCGACCTTGGCAGAAAGTGCCCTTTGAGAAGAAAAGAATTGCACTTAGGAGGCAGAATTCCCTAGAAATATCTTCACAACAGCTCAAGCAGCACTAAAAAAACTCAGTCATAACAACAAAGGAAACTGCAAACAAGCAATTAAATTCCCATCATAAAAGCAAAGAAGGCTTATCTTTTATTTTAACCCCAACCATTTTACAACAATCCCATCTGCTAAAATTACATTCGATGGCATTTCACTGTGTGAGCTGTACAGCTAATCCGGGATAGCTGTGAACTGTTCTCTGCTGCTAAGAAACCTCCTCTGCAGCTCCATAGTACTGACAGCACAGCCACAGATACATAGCACAACCAACAGCTCCCCCACCCACACTGCTGGCTGGAGAAGAAATTCCTGGGAGCCCAATTACCCCAAAAGACAAACAGAAACCCACTCACCTGCAACTCGTGAAGCCTTCAGTAGCCGGGAAGTCAGCTGTGATAGTAACATTTTTTTCCCCACTTCATTCAGTTCACCAGACCTGGTATTGACTGTTAAAGTAAAAACATTTACGCAGTGAGGCAAACCCGTTACTGCTACTTGAAAAAGCACTTTGAAATGTAACCCCAACCCTCCAAGAATTCCCGTTTCACCAGTTCCACTCTGCTGGATGTGACAGGCCCACAAACACTGAGGCAGCTGAGTTTCAGAGATAACCAATGCAGCTTTTGTTATTTCAGATTTAAGAAGTAGGCACCTCCATCCCAAGCCCCACTCGCACGTTCCCGCCCAGCTCAGCACTACGGCATCATTACCACAGCAGAAAGTGGAACGAGGATCGCTGCTGCGAGGAAACGCGCCGCTGCTCGACCTCACCAGGGGCCGGTACAGAGACCGAGCCTCTCTGCAACCCCCAAACAGCGAAACTGGCCGCTCCCGAGGCGCAGTTCTCACCACACCCGAACTGAGGCCCGAGCTCCAGCCCTAAGCCTTCTCCTCAGGCCGGCGGGCCGCCATCACTCACCATCGCCGCCCGCTTCCGCCCCAACTTCCGGTGCTCGCCAGCACAGCGCCTCCTGCCGATGACCGCCAGCACAGCGCCCCCTATCGGCGCCCTCCGGAACAACCGTGGTGCGGAGCGCGCCCCAGGGAAATGGCGGTCGTGGGAGCCGTGCTGCAATGCGCCCTTAAAAAGCATTTGTAATGCCTCTGAACGAAGGCTGTTGCACACATACCCCATTCTTCCTTCAGCCTCTCTTTCTCCACTGCTCACGGCCAGATTCCTCCTCGGATCCACAGCAGCAGCCTGTGTCAGTGAGCTGTTTGTGCGCTCATAGGGAGAGCCAGCAGGGAAGGGAAGCGCAGCCCTTTGCTCAGCTGCCCGGGCGCGGCAGCACCTCCCAAAACAGAGGTCAGACACGGCGTGCTCGCACAGCCGCAGCAGGGAAACACGTCCCGGTTACTGCAGCGGCAAGGAAAGGCTGCCGGGCACCCCTCCCTCTGCACCCTGAGATGCATCTGCGGGTGGCTGCTGTCCAGGAACAGCCACGCCTGCTTCTCCTGCTTCAACCTTTTGTCTTTCTGGGTACGAGAACCGCCGTCTTGGCACAGCATGAAAGGTCTCATCAGCTGGCATGGGGAGCCGCGCCGAGGCCAGCCCAGCACTTCAAAGAACGCCTTGCTTTTTATCCTTCCCTCAGCCAGAACACCGAGATCTTTTCACCGGCTGCTTTTGGTATTTCAAACCAGTTCAGCCATTGCTGTCTCCTTCAGGTTTAGACTTTCTGCCTGAGCGCACGGCTCTGTGGTCGCAAAATAGAGACCTGCACTCAGAGGAACGAACTGGAGCGGCTCATTACACAATTTGTTGAAACGAGACTTTATTGAAGACGCTTCAGAAATCTATGTACAAAACCACGTTCCCACCCCAAGATCAGGATGCTAATCACCCACTGGGAACAAAAGCAAAGCTGTGAACCTGAGGACACTCAGAAGTACCAAATCCACAAAGTTTGTCAGGTCTGGAGGAAACTGGAGGACCAAGACGTGTCTCCAGCACATCCACCATAGCAGGCTCTAAGAGCCTGTGCTGTCAGAGCAGGTCTGAGGGCAGGCTGCTTCTACAACCAAATCAGCAAAGTGAAACCAGCCCCAGATATAACCTGTACTTTTTAATCAGTGTTAACTGGTTCTGGGAGAGACCCATCACTAAGAGCACTGTGGTATTGTCAGAAGTGTTAGAGCAGAGCAGTAGTGATATCAAGGAAGAGTAAACCTTTCTGAATATACCTGGAGAGGGGGTGGATATCAGACTGGCTATTTCTATGAGAATCTAAGAATACCCTGAAGACGGAGACAGTAGTTGATGCAAGTTGAATAGTGACCAACATGCTGTTTCTGTACTATACTATGCACATCTACCACGGTAGAGTTTCCCCTTGCCAGTCCAGGAAGGAACCGTTTTCTTTTTCACCAAGACGATCCAGAACAGAGAGAATACCAGGGATGGCCTCTTGCACCTGCAAAGGAGCCTGGAGAGCAAATAGAGGTTGAGTTATTTCTAAGTATAACGGAGAATACAATCAAGGAGTCAATAGGATCAAATGGGACCTTCTTCAAGTTGCATAGTGTGCCTAGGCAGAGCATGGAAGTGTACTAGCAGCAGGGTCAAGGGTGGGAACAAGGGAATTATGCTTTCCTATTTATGTAGAGGTGTCACTAACCATGTTTCCGCCCATGTCTGTCTGAACCCAGCCTGGATGCAGAGAAATGCAGAGAATTCCATCTGATTTCAAGTCCGCAGCGAGACATCTGGTGATCATGTTCAGTGCAGTCTAGAAGAGGGGAAACCATCTATTAGTATGCTGCTTTTTACAACCACCCTTTCAGCAAGACCTTAAGCCAAGCTAACTGGCTATTCCTTTCCAAGATGCCTGCTGACAAATCAAGTAGCAATAGCAGCGTGATGGTAACTTATCCAGGCTTTATGGGGCCCTCATTCTCAGAAATACCTCTAAGGGAAGCACTGTGAAAGCTCCACCTCGTAAACTTATTGCCCAAAGATGAAACTGAGTTACGAAGGAAGATAAATAACATTTGAAACTCCTAAGGGCTCGTGAAAAATAACCCTGACGTAAGGACTCTTTTTCTGCAACAATCACAACACAAACATTCAGGCTTTTTACTTCTGATCAGGGAAAACAAGCATGTTAACAGCTTACGAGTAGGTGGTGCAGAAGAAACTGCATGTCTGATCCTGACGACTCATTCAGACTTAGACTCTGGATGTGACAGAACTAACGCTGCGATCATCTTAAGCTCAGAGTGGCCTTTAACACACAGACCCGTTCTCACCCAATGAGCACAGCCCAGGAACCATCCAAACCTTTGCTATCCTGTAGGGGTAGACCTTGAGGAACATCTCATTCGCCTGGACGAGTTGCATAGAGGCAGCAAGAGAGGACATATTAATAATAGCAGCTCTATGGCAGCCCATTCCTGTGCTCAGCTGAGCTGCCTTCCTCAGAAGGGGTAGAAAAGCCTGTAAAAACAAAGTTGGTTTTAATTTGGTCACCTCGCTCTTGGTCCATTTAAAGGCATCTCAAATTCTGCTCTGTGAAAACCTGCAGTACAACTCTATTCCATCAGCACTGGATGGTGATGGCTATCAAGACAAGCTGACCGTAGGAAACCTTTCCATAACATCCAAATGTAAGCAGCCGTCTGCTCACCTCCCAGCCCAAGCTGTCCACTGAAGTGACCTCGTACCAACTGGTTTTAAATAAAGACAAAGATACTGGTTGGAAAGCCATTGCTGCTCTCCTAGGGGCGCAGTTCCAAGGCGATAAACACTTGGGTTACGTGCCCAGCTCACAAGTGGCAGGGCCTCTGCAATGCCATCAATTAAGCATGCTTCTCCCAGTTCTTACCTTAGTGACCATCAGCTGGGCGACTGTGTTGGTTTCGTAGATGGTGAGCATCGTCTCTGCTGTAACATCTTCCAAGGAGGCAAGCACGTTGATGCCAGCGTTGTTGATGAGGCAGTTCAGACCTTTGTCTCCCACAATTTCTTCCACTTCCTTGACTACTTTCTTGATGCTGTTTTCACAGACCACATCTACACAGAGGAGCCAAGAACAGCCGCAGTGAGCAGCAACGTGGTTCAAATGCTGTTGCTACACAGCACGTGCTAAACCAAAGTTAAAACATGGCTGTGAATGGGGACAGTTAGGCAGCAAACAAGGATGGAGACCATGCATGGAAGATTTGCACAGATTATATTCCCTGTTGGTATCTTAAAATGAAGTTAGGGATCTTTCCAGCTGCTGGAGGTCGTGCACGGCTACTGACCATGCAGGAGACTTCAGATGCACTCACCTGACTTGGTTGAACATGCTCCTATTTAAGCCCTTTACTCACCCAGCTGGAGGAGCTTGATATTGCTGTATTGCTTGCTAAGCTGCTGGAGCTCCTAGGAAGAAGAAATTATTTCTATTACCTTCTTTGTACGTATGTTACATGAAGCAGTTTGAGACCTGCGCCTCCAGTTTGCTTTTGTAACTGGACTGAGAGCAGTGGCACTACTTTGCCTTCCATCCTTGAGAGCAAGACTGATTGCTCCAAGAAACTGGGCTCTTCACCTGCTTAGCCAAGAAACCAGCATGGTAAATTCTCAGTATATTAATACAGAGGGTGCATTTACAGTCTAACCAAAGGTCTTTGCTCAGGTGGCTCTGGGTGATGGCTCCATTGTGCTCAGGCTGCATGCCAAGCTGGTAATTCCTCACTGCTGTTAAGCACTTCTCCTGATGCTTAGCTGGTACCAGACATCAGGTCAGAGCAACAGAAACTCTCAGAAAAGCCATTTGGCACTACTGGTTGCAGAAAAAGCATCCTAACAGTTTTCCCATCAAAATCCTGTTATCAAATACTTTCGTTAGCTTCAGTTCTTGCAACTGAAAGTAGAGCACACAAGAAATTGGTTATGTACACAACAACTGTCCAGGAGAACGGTGTTCTCTCTGCAATATAATTCAGCCATCTGCCTGCTAATGCTCAGCAGTAAAGTAAGAGAGGAATAAGAAGTGTTCCTGTAGGAAATCAGTGCTGGGCTGATATTGCTCCTGGATAAGGTGCGTGCATGCTGGATTTTACAGCCCCAGCTGCAGCACTGGGGTTTCTGTGCCATGCAGAAAGCGGGGACAAATGTTAATGGATAGAGTGCAGGCTGCCAGCCACTCTTAGGGGCTGAGCAGCCACAGGCAAACATCCCAGCTCAAGCAAATCCACCTCTTCAGGAGCCCATCTGGAGCAGGGGTGGAAGGAGCTGCTTTTGAAAGAGTATTCCTCTGCCACTTGGAGATGGTTGGGGACTCCATGTCCCCTCATCAGGTTGTAACACACCACATTTTTTATCTCAGTTGATGTTCTGCAAGATTCTCTGCAGGTTTGTTTAGTAAACTTGCTCTCCCACTGCAGCCAACCTACAGCTGCTGTGGGGCTTGGAAGGGGAAGAAGCCAGAAGCACAAAACCAGCAGACATTCCTTTCCCTGGACAGGAATAGTTCTGCCATGTCAAGGTCTGCAATAATTATGTGGCTTTGGACTGTCTGCTGTACTTCAGTTTGACAGCACCAATTATGATCAGCTCCAGAAGCGCTCTGGCTTCCACGATGTTTTCATTTATTTATGGACAGATTGCTTCCCTGTCAGACAGAAACAAACTACAACTGTGAGGCAGCAGATAAACCTGCTCTGCTAAAAGGCCAGAGATGTTCTGTGCAGTGAGAACCAGTGAAAGGGCTCCAAAGTGAGCCAGCAAGATCTTCAGTTCAGAACTCCAAAGGCTGTGGCATTTCTCCTTCCCTGGAGCATAAACACTGCAATGGCTGCATGTAAACCAGAGTTAAAATTCAATAGTTTTTCCATTTAGTTAATTATTGTGTTTAATAATGACTCCCACTCGAGTGGCTTAAGGTTCACAAAAGAAGCTTCTGGGCGTAACTTTATCTTGGACAGCTTTGGGCTGCAAGAAGTACAGAGCTCTGCTGCTCTCAGTGAGAACAGGAGTGGAAAGCCTAGATGGGAAACCCAAAAAGCACAGGAAAACACATTCTTCTCCCTTCTGTGCCTAAAGAGGAGGGCCAGGACAAGCCCATGGCAGCCCCAACAGATGAAGCCACTTATATTTAGTTATGGTGCTGCAAAAGCTGATTTAAAACAAACAAGCTAACGAAGCAAACAAGCAAAGCACTCAACACCAGCCCCACATGTTTAGTGCAGCAGCTCTAGGAGTGTTTGGTACCCAAACAGCTACCCATGAGAATCAGAGAAAAAAAAACTTAAGGCTGTGATTAACATCTGTTGTTTCCTGCTTGCTGATTTTAATTACGATTAACAAGGAGTCAGCCTGCTCCCATTTAAACAGGATCCTCTGGCGCTGAGACTCCAGATACAGATCCATCAGTGCACGGGTTGTTAGGCTCCAATCAGGGTGTTGTGTTGCTTTTGTCATTTAGCAGGATTTACTTTGCCTTCTTTATGAAAGCATTATTCACTCTGGTTACAAGTCTTGGAAGGAGCCTGGCTGTGCTGGACTGATTGGAAGCAATAGAGCAGCCTAAGGCAGCTGTGTCAGGCAAAGGGGACTCAGTGCCCCTTCCCACTGCCCTGCTGGCACTCCAGACGAAGCCAAAGCACTCCAAGATTTGCCCACGTATCCCTGAGATGGGCTGTCCAGTATCACAGCACTCAGCCAACTTGCTGTCAGATTATGGAAGAATTCACACCAAGCTGCTGCCAACTGCCCCACATCCACGGTAGGAAGTACAAACCGCTGCCTTAAGCCAAAATTAGAAAGATTGTGAGAACACCCTCTTCCTGATATAGCAGATTTGTTGCTGGAGGACTGCTCCAGAGATTGCTCAGCTGGTTTTGTCCATCTGGAGTGCAAAGATGGGACACGAGGGTTATTTTGGAAGAGATTTGTAGCTGCCTCCGCTCTCAGTGCCAGAGCAGCTCAAGGAAGGGCAGATCAGAAGCAAAGTTGGGCTGGAGGAGCCCAGCACGGGACTTTTCAGGGAGGAGCAGCGGTTATCTCCATGTGCCTGCAGGCCTGCTGCATGCTATCTTGTGATCTTAGCCCATTTGTTAGGCAAATGTTCTGCGGAGGCCACCTAGGAGGTATGCAGCACAAGAGCTGGAGTTGTTACAGCTGCCAGCAGCCTCGCATGCAAAAGCTTGCAGCTGTTCAGCCTTATCCCGGGGTTAGCAGGCTACAGGAGATGCTGCTCCCTGCAGCAAGCAGACGGGCTCCTGTCCAGCACCTCATCCAAGGTCGGGTCCCTGGGGAGCTGCCTAGAGGATGCTCTTGGCATGCAGCTGTGAACAGCACACGCTCTGCTCAGAGCTCCTCTGGCTCAGTCCCCTAGTGGGGATGTGCTGCTGGGTATCGTCCTTGAGTGCTGGGTTGGCCAGTCATTAAGCACGCTTCATCACTTTTCCTCTAAAATCTGGCCCGATTATTTTTCAAAGGCTGTTTTTCGTTTCTGCTTTTTCCATTTCAGGATTTCAAGATCTGGCAGCAGAGCGAAGGCAAAAGCCTCGTCTGGGAGAAAAAGGAGAAGAACTACCCATCTTTTTTACCCATACCCGCTCAAGCTGACTGCAAGCTCAGAGCTGGGCAGCTGTACCCACTGCACGGCTCAGACACATCACTGCTTGCCCCAGCAGCGGTCAGAGGCTTTGTGCCAGCATTAGCATTGCAGATGAGACAGATAGCAATAGGGAGACTACAATACCTTCAGTAAAGATTTCCCTTCCTTGTGGTGTTTCCAAACCCATCTGTTAGAAATATGCTTTCAGCCGGCTGCGCAGCTCTCCACTGATGTGCTGCCAAAGCACAGCACATGGCTTAGAGGTCCTGACAAAGAACAAAAACCCACCCTGAGCCCCCAAGGACAACTCCTGCTCCAGGAAAACCCAAAAACTAAAACAAACCAACCCAAATTAAGGATGCAGCCCTGTGGCCTGCTGGATCCCAACTCAGGGTTACAGGAATGCAGCCCTGCTCCAGCTTCCTGCCTCCAACAGGCACAGCTGCCAGAAACTTTCCAGGTTTCTCCTGCTGCAAGCAAGCAGTTGCCCAGCCTTTTCCACGCACCACAGTATGGGAAGGCTGTTTTGTCCTTTGTCTACCAGGCTTTTTGCTCGAGGTCTGCATAATGCTTCTTGGGAAGCTCTTCCTACTGAAAGAACCACGTTGCTTTTTCATACAACTGATTCAAGACCATCACAATGGGAAACCACTGCTGGACATGAGGGTCAGTTGGTGAACCTCTCAGCAAAAGCAGCTTCAGAGCAAGCACCTGCACAAGAAGGCTTCAATCACTGACGGTCCCTGCAGTGTCAACCTTTAAGTGTGCAATTACCAGTAGGAAATCCATCTGGGACCTGAAGGAGGGCACAGCAAACAGCATAACCACAGGTACAGGTTGGGAGCTCCCGCAGCATGAAGGTAACCTGCACCCATGCTGTGTCACAGCAGTTCCATTCAGAAACATACCCTCAGAGTGTTTGTTGCATTGCCTGCTCTGACACTGAGGAACAGAAGGAAGATGACTTCCTTCACTTTCCTAAGCACCTACAGAGCAACACAGAGCTGCTGCAGAGCTGAGCAGCCAGGCTGCAGCCATTCCTGCCCTGTGCTATCCTGGAACAACAGGAGCCCCTGCCCCAGCTTTTGTGTAGCAAAGCAATAAAAGTTGTTCTGTGTTGTCTGGTAGCAGAGCAGTGAGATCACAGCTTGCACTGTAAGGAATTAAACTCACAGCAAAGCAGCAGCCATGCGAGATCTCCTTCACTCTGTGTGCCAGGGGAATCCCTTCTCCCTGGGCAGCCCTGTCCCAGTGTGAGGGAAAGAAGCAGAGTTTGTGGCACTGATTACAGGACGGCAGAGTCCTGACACAGAGCTGAGAGCTCAGATTCTCCCAGCTCTGCAGCACCAGATCTTTTCTGGGAAAGGCAGAGGATGATGCTCTGAGTGCAGAGCTGCCCTGGCAGCGTTCTGCTCACCACAGATTGCCAAGATCGGGCTGGAGCAGCACGGGGTGAAGCAGGCTGATAACCTGCTATCAGCTTGTCCCCGCAGGTTGGGTTGTCTGGCGGTTACATACAACAGCCTGGGGACAGAGGAGGGGAGGAGGGGTGCGAATAAGCCGCTGCTATATTGCAGAGAAAAAGGCAGGTAAACGAAATCCCCAGAGACACGCAGCAGCAACGGGCAGAAGGCACCGATCCCTGCCTAAGGACAGTATTTAAGTTGGTTGTGGACTTGTTGCAAGTCCAGCATGGAACGGGGAAAGACGGGGAAAGACAGAACGGATGCACAGTGCAGAAGGCACGGGGGAGCCCTAAGGGATATCCGTGCGAAGGCTCCTGGGGCAGCACCCATCTCCAGCTGCGCCCGACGAGCCGCTCCGCCGCCTTCCTCCCTCCCAGGAGCGGACACCCAGCCGGCAGCAGCTCATCGTCCCTCCGTTCTCGGAGCCCCCAGCAGCCCCGGCTCCATCCCGCATCCCCCCCTACCCCCTCCAGCCCGCTTACCTGCGCCTTATCGGGATAGCGGCACGTAGCGAAGACGACCTCCGGGGGGGGATCGGAGGCAGCGAGCCCCTTCACCAACCCCAGCCCGATGCCGCGGCTGCAGCCGGTGATGAGCACGGAGCGGCAGCGCGGCTGGGCCATGCTGCTCGGCTCGGCTCGCTCTGTTCCCACCGCAGCCCCACGCGGTTCTTAAACCTGCACGGCGCTCAGCCGGCACCGAGCCCCGGATCCGCCCC